TGTCACACACACAGTGTCACACACACACACACACACACACACACACACACACATCTTTCAGAATGCCAAAGGTCGGTTGATTGATCAACATTCATAGACGCGTGTCACGCACTTCTGCGCGACACGGCCGTGCCGCTCCTTCCTTGCCGAGGGGAAGGCCACAGTGCGGCGCGAGAGAAGTAGAAGGGAAGCGGGAGAGGTTGCGGAACTTCTCTTTATATCTTTTTTTTATTTTTATGTTTATTCATTCATTTATTTATATCCTCTATATCGTCCAGAGGAACGTGACATTTACGGTTTATGCGCCCCAAAACTCCACCATTCTCTTCTTTGATATTTCGTATTGGTTTACCATCATACCAGCATAACGATCGGCAAAAAATAAAGTTGATGGTTGTTAAAACAAAACAAAAACGTGTAATAATACGAAGTGGAGCAGCGTTAAAAAATAAAGTGGATGCTCAAGGCACGGTGAATGTAAGCATTGCCGAACCTGACACTGACTTCACCCGAATAAAACAATCGGTCATTGTTACAGTAGCTGTATTAAGGGCAACTTTCAGTCCAGATGCAGCGATAATGACCGAGCGGTATAACAGATGGGCGGTATCGCTTCACAAGATGTCAGATTCTCATCGAGACGTGGAAGAATGATCTACAAGATTCGAAATCGGCTCGCCATTTCTGAATTCAAAACGAAAAATTACTGAAAAGAAGAAGAAAACGGATACAATTTCTATTCCGGCGTGTACCCCGGGGCAAGGTCCCACTTGCACAAATTAGGAGATTTCGGCCGTCGATCTTTGTTATCTACGGTCAGCATCTCTCTTAATTCGTGCAAGTGGGACCTAGCCCCCAGTTAGGACTGAGGATATCGGGTTCAGACAACGCCGGTCCAGGAAAAGAAATCGACGAATTGACCTGCACAAAGGCGTACTTGAACAAAAAAGCACAAAGGCGTACTTGAACAAAAAGCACAAAGATCGGTATAGAAAACACCACGACCAATCGAAGGACAACCAACCAACCAAGCACGCGATAGGATTGTGGCCAAGTAAAGACAACCATCAGCGATTTACGCTGAAGGCAAGAGGGAGAGGAGGGGCGGGAGAGAAAAGAAATAAAGAAAGACAGAGAGAGAGAGAGAGAGAGAGAGAGAGAGAGAGAGAGAGAGAGAGAGAGAGAGAGAGAGAGAGAACAAGTGAGAATCACAGAATGGGGATTGGAATTGCCGGGAGAAAAAAGAGGAGGATACGGTACAACAGAAAGGAGGGAGTTCTCATGGAAGATCATGCCGATCTGAAAGAACCCGGCGAGGTTAGCGGTTCAGCCTCGAGACATAGCAAAACAACGATGATAGCGCCGTTCAAGAGGGACAATAACAGGCGACCCCAAACAGGTCCCGTTCCAATAATGGGATGTGGCGTCAAAAACCACCGGTCCACCCACGTCGCAGACCAGCTGGAAAATCTAATACAGTATATTTAAAAATAATTTAATCCTAGTTGAGAAAATACTTAACCAGACAGGCCAGAACTCAGAGGGGGCTCACACGAAGCCGAGCTCATACGACGGGGCAGAGCCGGCGAGCTCACACGACGGGGCAGAGCCGGGGCGAGGTCCCACTAGCAAAGAGGATTGGATTGAGCTCCTGAATCTGGATGTGTTTCATGCACAGACGCAGAAATGCAGTTCAATCTCGATTTTATGCACCTCTCCACGAAATCGTCCAGATTCAGGCATTCAATCCAATCCTCTTTGCTAGAGGGACCTCGCCCCCGGTGATGCGATAAAACAGCAAGTAATGAATAATCGTTAAAACTTAAAACTACACCCGAGGGGCCAGAGCTCACACGAAAAGTCCCTCGGGACATCCGTAAAAATTGGAACGATACAGAGAAAGAAGATTAGCATGGCCCCTGCGCTTTCAAGGATGACACCCATAAATCGAGAAATGGTCCAAATGTTAAAAAAAAAAAAAAAAAAAAAGCTCACACGAAGAGAAAGCATAAGTAAATCCTATAGCGGAATGCGAGGAGGTAGCAAGACGTTAATGCGATTGGAACTCTTGTCCGCGTACATGGACTCGGCCTGTGTCCAGGTTCAGACCTGACCACAACCGGTGATTGTGACTGTTACTGGGGTTGAACTTCGCAGAACGAAGGGAAAGAGAGGAGCGGGGGTCGTTTCACTCTATCAAATTTTATTTTATTGATTATGACCGATCTGCGTGTTCCAAGCAGAGGGCTGCCAGTAGTCGAGATACAAATTGTTGACTTCAACCGTAATTCATATACTTCTTAGTCCACATACGAATTACTTAACATCTACTTCCCAAATTTTGAATCACGATTTGAAAAACTTTTTTTTTTTTTTTTTCCTGCCGTCTTCCCCCGAACACAGGGCACCCGGAAAAAAAAAAAAAAAAAAGATTTTGCCTGACACCGGATCGGAAAGATAGCTTGTAGCCTTGTACACATTCCGTATCAGGGTGCGTTGTGATCGGGGGAAAAGACGGTAATATGAAGAAAGATGATAGATTAGCAAGGTAGAATCACACTACCACACTTTTGGAAAGAGAGAGTTTCACATCGGGCTTCCTTCGTTGAGGGCTTTGCTGCCTCGAATTAAAAAAAAAAAAAAAAAAAAAACACCTCATCAGCTCTTTTGTTCTCTTCTTCACATCCGATTCGAGTGTTTCCTTCGTTCGGGCTTTTCCTGCCCCGCATTTAAAAAAAAAAAAAAAAAAAAAAAATCCCCCACCTCATCAGCTCTCTTCTCTTCTTGAAAACCTCCAGAAGCAGCTAACACACTCTACCGCTTTCCCCCGAATAGAACGTACCGTGATTACGACAATAGTTGGGCCAGCTTTAGAAGAACTAATAGCTACCGCGATAATGACCGAACGTCTTCTACTGGGGGGGGGGGGGGGGGAGGGGAACGGGAGCATACCAGTTTTTCGGGAAATTTGGGCCCTAAAGGACTTTTGTATTTGACCGGCCGCCGACCAAAAAAGAGAAGAGAGCCATGTTTGACAATGATTTTTTAGCCATCTTTACAGAAATCTTAGTAGATGGGAAAAAACCCGGCCCGGATCTTATCTTCACTGGCGATGTGTTTTTTATGGAGTGGGAGTTTTGCAATGAGGATTTCGACGGATTTGATGATGATGAAGAAAGAAGAGGAAAGACAGAGCGTAATGGGAATTCGCACAAATCACCCCGCCCATGAGGCAGGCAGGATTTGTCGATGATGATGATGAACATTCAAAGAAGAGGCATTTAGCAGAATTTCTGACCGATTTGGGGGGAACTCCAGATATCGTGATTCCGGTTGATTTGGACTCGATACTCTCGTCGTCGTGGGAATTCGCACAAATCACCCAGCCCATGAGGGACCACAGGGGACCAGTCAGTTGGAACCATGGGGTACCAGACAGTATGGCACACACCCATGACCTGTACCTGTGTTGATAAACAGATAATATACTTGGTTCGAATCCCGATTGGGGAATCGGAAGAACGAGACATAAGAAATTACTCTGGAGTCTGAACAACCACGGGGGACCAGTCAGTTGGAACAATGATACTTCAAGGCCGTCTCGGGGCCCTTAGTTTGTACACACACAAAAAAATGGCTACAAAAAAAAAAAAAAAAAAAGAGAGAAAACAGAAACAACAGCCACGTACACGTTCTCGATATGTTCATGTTCACCTATCTTCTTTTCTTTTTTTCTTTTTGATCTCCAATAGACCACGGATCAGATATATATACTGATTACTAGTAAACTAATCAGAATAGGTACCACACTGTAACCACAGTTCATTTTACCCAAAAGGCCGAGAAAGGTATATTAACCATGATCTTGTAAGTGCAACCGTATTATTGATTGGGATTAAGGTGAGCAGGTAGGAATTCTTGGGAGGACTACGGTAGCCCCGTGTCCTTACAATAAAATAGAACGAACACAAAAAAATATAATACTACAGTAATTCTTCATTAAAAAGGAAATCCAGTCAATTACTTACTAGATTCGGCGGAAGCGGGGGTCCATCGAACCACACGAAAGAAAAAAAAAAAATCAGCATCCCGACACTAATTTTTTTCTCCGTTCTGTCTAAGCTTTTCACTTAGTTCACTGCCCAATCCAATCCCCTCAAAAAAACTCTAAATCGCAACAAAGTTTGAGCGACAAACGCACATGGTTTATGCGGCACACGCAGATCGTTCTGTGTCACACGCGCACACATGTTTTTGCGTAATTCGCACATGTTTTTGTGTGATTCGCACGTGTCTTTCTGTGATTTAGCACACGTTTTTCTGTGAATTCGCACATGTTTTTGTGTGACACGCACACTCGTTTGCGTGGCGGTGAGAAGAGTAAGTGTGCACCCAACCTGGTCCGGGGAACTGTGTCAGTCGCAAACAAAGTTTGAGCGGCCGCACACGCAGATCGTGTTGTTGGACACGCACACATAATGATGATGATGATGATGATGATGAAGATGACGTCAACAGACTGACAAAAGCACACGACCGTGTTTCACCACGGCAGACACTTGTGGATGCCGAATCTCCCATGAACTCTTCATAAGAGATCAAAATGATAATCCAGAGTCCCAGAATCTCCAATGAACTCTTCATAAGAGATCAAAATGATAATCCAGAGTCCGCCCCATGTTTTTGTGTGACACAAGCGTTTGCTTGGCGACTAGAACAAGCATGCACCGAACCTGGTCCCGTGCATCCCCGACAGCACATGAATCGGCGTCGTCGCGCGACACGATAGATTGCTAATCATCCTACCGTCTTCACCCGACTACGACTTACGTCGTTATTATAGCTGCAATTTGGGGCAACGACGGCAGTCTAAATTCAGCAATAATGATCATACGTTGTATTCGGGCGAAGACGGTAGTAGCCATGGGCACAGCACGGACAGGACATTAATCGGCACGCTAAGAAGAAAAAAAAAACTCCGCATGCATGTCCGAGCTTCATAGTACGTATCGTGAGTGCGGCCGTATCACACTATTTCACAGTAACGGGCACCGCACTCTCAGGAGATAACTCACCATAATGCTCTCTCTCTCTCTCTCTCTCTCTCTCTCTCTCTCTCTCTCTCTCTCTCTCTCTCTCTCTCTC